AACTGCTGTATTATTGGTTGAGAGAAAGGGACGGAGACGGTTAATGTTACGCAAGTTGAAATATGCAGATATTATTATATTATTAATTTGAGTTTAAAAAGACAGTGTGTTATCCATGATAACACCCAAACTTTTATCCTGAGAGGATTGCATTATTGCATTATTGTCAATACACAAGAAAAAACAATTAGATTTAGACAAAACAGATCTAGTGCCAACAAGTAGGGCCTCAGGTCTTTTCCAATTTAAATTCAGGAAGTTAGCTGAAAGCGAATCTTTAATTTCAGCTAAAAAGCTGGACAAAGATGATGGAGGAAAAGAACCAGTGGGTTTGCCAGACAGGTAAAGTTGGGTGTCATCCGCATAACAATGAAAATTAATACCATGTTTCCTCAAAATATAACCAAGAGGGAGTATATAAATAATGAAAAGAAGCGGGCCCAAAACAGAACCATGGGGAACACCAGTGGTGACTGTAGATGTTCTTGATCTAAAACTTTTTAATTGAATACGATGAGTGCGTCCAGAAAGACACAACCTAAACCAAGACAGAGGAGTGCCAGTAATCCCAATAGAAGCTAACCTGTCGAGAAGTATCTTATGTGAGACAGTATCAAAGGCAGCGCTCAAGTCAAGAAGGACAAGTATGGTTAAAAGCCCAGAGTCAGCTGCCAGCAACAGATCATTGGTTATTCTTACAAGAATATTATATATAATATATAAATATATTAAGGGGTGTGGCCGAGAAAGACTGTGTGAAATGGGCAGTAAGCTGAACTGATTATGCTGTCCCATGTGCAAATATCTATGAAAACAGATTGGTACAGTAAAATAATAATAAAATAATATTCGGCCATTACAGTGTATCATCAGACACTAATATCATATTTAAAGCCCCCTTAAATCACAGCTGAACTCAGTCAACTGTATTGTGCCATATGTTTAAGTTTAAGGGTGTATTCACACCTGTCTTTTTTGGTTTGATTGAATCGAACTCAAGTTCGTTTCCCCTTTGGTGCGGATCTTTTGGGCAGGTGTGAATACAGCAATCGCACTCGGGTGCAGACCAAACAACCGTATCGAGACCCAGCTGAAGAGGTGATCTCGGCCCGCTTCCAAACAAACTCTGGTACGATTTGTTTAAGGTGTGACTATGACCCGACCTCGATCCGACCCAATTGCAGAAATCACACTCAGAAACCGACAGCTCGCGCTTATAGTGCAAATCACTTGTTTTTAAACCACAATGCTTAAAAACACAAGCAAATGATGAGTTTTCGTGACCATAGCGCACAGCAACGTGACGTGAGCGTGCTAAATAGGCTAAAGCTTGCCACAAAATTACCATGACTGTGTTGGGGGAAAATAGTAAGGAGATATTTCAGTTATTTATTAACTAGTGTTTTATGAGTCAGTGTCACTATGAAGTTGATGATCCTGACTCACCATCTCATCATTGGACGTGCCTTTAGAAATGCATCTTTACGGATTACATAAGAGTTTTTGTTTTGGATTTGAATTATTTAGTTTTGTAGTCATTTAAAGCTTTCTATAGATATATTCATCATATCTGCAAGGAAAATATTCGCTGAGTTCAGGTTCATTTTTGTGAAGCACTCCTGTTCAAGACCGAGACGGCAAGCACATCCTATTTGTTTTCTTTATTTTACAAAAGCGCAACGTTTTCTTGATATTGTGAGTGCACACAAATAAAAGTAGACCCTTTACAGTTCCGAATGATGTATTATTCTTACCTTTCTGATGGCATATTTAATTTGTTTCCACTGATGTCCTGAAACGTGCTTCAGCTTCCACTTTCCGCACAAACAATTGGATATGCACCTAATAGCGCACATTTATATAGGTTAAATGTTTAAACTAACATTGTGATATTACAAAATCGTATGACATTGTCTCATATGATGCTCATAAGTTTCTTCATATTGCGTTAGTATCTAATAAACAGTGTTGCCAAGTCCGTGGTTTTCTCGTGTCCGCGGGTTGAATCGACTCCAATAACATGATATTTATCCCCTGGAGTGCGAATTTTAGCAGGGGAACCCCGCCAAAAAACGTGTATTTTCCCCCCTGGAACGCGATTTGTAACTGGCGACCCCCTCGAAACGTGATTGGGCTAGTTTTGAGTAGCGATTGGGCAGGCTTTCTTGTGAAAACCTGGCAACCCTGCTGATAACACCAAATCAGTAAAAGAATAAAAATTGCACTACGAAAGATCTCCATCATTAGCCTGTTTTTGCACTTCCTGTTTTTACCTGCTTGAGAATTTCTGTCCAATGAATGGATGATCTTGGCACACATGTGGTTTTGTTTACAATTTCTGGTTCACTTGCAAAAAAGGACAGTGTGAAAGTGAACCACACCAAACAAAAAAAAAATCAACATTATATTTGGTCCAGACCAAAGCAAGTGAACTAGCAGATATTCCTGGGGTGTATTCCAGAAAGCACGGTTAACTTACCGTCAGCTAAACCCTGAACTTTTGGTTGATTAACCACAAACCTTGCTTACTCGAGGTATGTGGTTCCAAAACAGCGTCCGGGAGTAAGTTCATTCAACTCTGAGTATGTTCCTGGTTAAGACTCAAGACATTCTCAGCAGAGCGACGAATCGACGAGTCACTATGGAAAGCGCGCCATGCTGTTTCTTTCTTTTTCTTTTGTTCAGTGGTCGTTTACATGCTTAGTGCATATCGCCACCTAATTGATGGTTGTGCAATCATTTTTTATTTTTTTTCCGTTTAATCTTTAATCCTTGAGAATATGAATTATATTGTTTGTTTGATGCTAATTATATATTAAGTCCTATCAGATATGTATTTTGATTTAGAATTGAGACATTATAGAAAAAGCAGATACATGTGTGAGTTGATAATATAAAATATAATAAATAAATATATATAATATAATAAAATAAACAGTACCTTGTCATAGTGTTTTATAATTTATACAGATAA